CTGTCCATTACATTAACTCAGCCCGCCATAATCCACTTGCAGCTGTAGGCCTTTACCTCAATCAATAGACTCACATTACAAAGTGCCTGGGGAATGTTGGCTACGTTGAACAAAGCTGTCTCCATGTTTAAGAATTAGATATTAAATTGTGGGTAGGGATGTTGTATCTTTTGCCCTTTGTCCCATTTCTATTTCAGTACATAACACAGCCGTGCAGCACACACTTCCAGTACATTAAAGCTAGTAAAAGCAATCCAGTGTAGAGCATGCTAGGCTAACTGATACTTTAAAATATCACAATAAAACACTTAACTGCTGGGTTTTGAGTTTCTTTGGACTGCCTGTAGGAAATCACTATTTTATGATGTCTTGAGCATTCCATGATCATAATTCAGAGGTCTCCTACCTTCTCTTGGCTTTGAAAGGGCTGTTATTCTTACTGCTAAGTGTGTGAATGTTAGCGGTAGCTAACTGTTCCCACAAAAGGCAGCTAGCTTAATCCACAATCTAAATACCGGAATTGCAGGTGGCTGTTGGGTTTTTTTTTATACATGTTCAGTTTCCACTTCAACATACGCAAAAATCATCCAGACCACCCACCACCCCCCCAAAGCACTTTTAAAAACTCAGTAGAAATGTATTGCTAATGGAAAGGGAGGCTCTGGAGCAGCCGCCCAGGAGCCTGAGATCACCATGCCCAATGCCAGTAGAGGGACAAACTCCCCAGCACTGGGCTGTGGAGCAGCGGAACTGCGTTCTCTGGAGTGATGGGACTTAATCCAATACCAGGACCCCCCCATAGAGCAGGCATGATTTGGGTGGTGGGTCATTCTCAGCACTGCAGTAACACTGACATAGTGGTGGTGTGTTAGTGTGTGTTGCGCTGGTCTGAGTGGATCAGACACAGCAGTGCTGCTGGAGTTTTTAAACAACTCAGTGTCACTGCTGGACTGAGAACCAAAAACATCCGGCCACAGCGTCCTGTGGGCAGCTTCCTGTGACCACTGATGAAAGACTAGAGGATGACCAATACAAACTGTGCAGCAGCAGATGAGCTGTCGACTCTGACTTTACGTCTACAAGGTGGACTGACAAGGCAGGAGTGTCTAATAGAGTGGACAGTGAGTGGACACAGTGTTTAAAATCTCCAGCAGCACTGCTCTGTCTGATCCACTCGCACCAGTGCAACACACACTAACACACCACCACCACATCAGTGTCACTGCAGTGCTGAGAATGACCCAACACCCAAATAATACTTCCTCTGTGGGGGTCCTGACCATTGAGGAGTCACAACAGTTCACACACAGAGAGACAACAGTGTCCCAGTTAATAAGATGAGGTTTGTTTGATTATTAATTAAAACTATCTGTGACCATTTCCCTTCCACCAGTGGAATGGGCTCTAGTGGGCCTGCAGAAAGAGGCTTATGTAGCCAATATAAATCCTTTAAAATGTGAGTCTAGAAGTGCAGTCATTGGCAAAAGTGAGGTAATGTTTACATCTTTCCAGTAAGACATAATTTCACATTCTAGCAACCACTGGCTCTCAATTCCAGTTGTGTTGGACGCCCTCCAATGCCCAGTCCAGTGTTTTCCCTCCATCCCACCTCATTAGGCCCTCTACAAGGTGAACCAGGCATCATAGAGAGGGAAAACTCTCCACGTCGTAGCTCCTCTGAACTTGGGATTGGGAGCCACTGATATAAACAAATGACCATTGTTCTGCAGCAGCTTTCTAACCCTACAACACACACTGCCCCAATTACAGTGGCTTATGCTGGAGCTCAGCTGGGTGGATAAATTCCATCCATTCACTGCACTGTCGAGTCAGGAACACAGCAGGAATGCATTCTCTGATGTCTTTCAGGTAAGTGTCCTATTGATCACATTTTATTGGCTTAAGAGACGCTATGAGTTGCACGTGGAAGGTCCATAGTGATGCCCTGATGCGTTTCCAGTGGCGGAAAGAGAAAGATGTAGGAGTAACACAATCAAATAGAGTTTCCCATCGTCTCAATCATTCCAGAGCACTGGAATATTTAATCCTCGGAAAAACCCAACAGTGTTCAATTAAAAACCAGCTAGCATTAGCCGTTCACCATGCTGTCTGACTGGAAGCAGCTTAAAGTTTTAAACGGACGCCGAATGCTGCTGTTATCTCACTGGCCTCCCAACCTTGAAAAGGTTGAAACCTACAAACATTTAATGTTTTTGTTCAAGCAGCACATTTAGTCACTGTTTGCTGCTGGTCATAGCAACTTGTTAGCTATTCAGCTAGCAGGCTGCATTTATGTCTTGTGATTTATAAGCTTAAATGCTCAAATGTGAGCAGCTCTCCCCATAGAATTCTACACATTAAAAGTGTTATGCTGCGTTCACATGTAGGCCGTAGGCAAACGAAGGAAAACCGAAAATTCCTCTGTTTTCAGTGGAGCCACAATAAAAAATTCTCCCAATGCAAGCGGTGAGCGGAACGATCTGTCAATAGTTCAGTTTTTTCCAACTTTTTCCATCGAACCCCATACAAAAATCTGATATATGGCCATATAAGTTGTGTACATTTATTAATTGTACATTGTTAATTATTAATTAATGTTTTCTGCTATATATTGGTAAGTATGCGTTACACATATATGTGTGTACGTTGTCACATATGGCTGAAATATATGTCCCAAATTTGAACATGGTCAGTTTCAAAAAAAGTTGGCATAAATGTCACATATATGTTCAGATGTGACTAATATAAATTGCATGTAAAGGAAATCCATATATGCTGTTGTATGTCATGTATTTGAAATACACACATTTCAATATATCAGATTTTCGAATGGGCTGCAGGAGTGGAATAAACCGGATGTTGATTTTTTGGGGAGCTATGGATGCTAAATGTCTCATTGTTGAATTCTAGATGAACCCAGTATTGTACAACGAAAATAAACAAGTACCAAGCATCCTCCTGCCCCTCTCCATCGTAGACAATATACACTGCTAAAGCTCACCTTTGATAAGCATCCATTTCATTCAGCGCCGTGGGTAAAAATGCAGCCCTTGGCCACGTAGCGCTATGAGATGCAGAATGACATTTTTTTTCAACGCAAACATGTGACTGCAGCATTAGGCTGGCCTTACACAGTGAAACTTTCAACTAGTTGCATGTTGTGAGTTGCTTGCAACTTAATTTCCATGCAACTTGACAGTTACACAAAGCAATTAAAAAAAAGATGAATTTTGCATGCAACACATTCAGTTACGCCTCCATTTAGCCAAATTAGCAGTTCATATATTTTGATACTCTGCATTGTTCTTGCTATAAAGTCATCCACAAGGTGGCATTTACATATTCACAACCTTTATGTTTTTTTTCATCTTTTTTTTTTTACAACTATATATCTGTAATTCATCTGACTTGAGCCTCAAGAACCTCACGTTTGTTCTATTGGCTTAGGAAACTGACAAATTGAAAAATAAATTTTGAGTCAGTTGGGAGGGTCTCCTTTCCTTGTCCTTTGAACTGGTGAAATCAGTGGTTTGAAAATATGTAATTCGGCATGATCATGTGATGCATTACTGGCATTTTGATTGGCTGTTTCATGAAACATGCTTCATTAAGTCAAGACGCTTGCAACTGTTGCAACTGAGTTTCAAGTGAGTTGCAGGAATCTTATGCAACATTGTGTGACTAACAAGAGCAATTTAGTTTTACATAAATTTCAAGAAATTAAAGTTGCATTTAAGTTTCACTGTGTAAAGCTGGCCTTACACTTTATTTGTCAACTTCATGAGCAAAACGTGACAGAGTAGACTGTCCTGGTCAGCAGAAAGCTAACAGGTTAAAAGCCTTCTTTGTTAATTATTAAGAGGCTTTAAGTTTACTTTTTTTACTAAATGAGTCAATAAAAACGATGCAAAGTAAAACTACAACAGTCAAGCACCAGTCAATTGTTTTAGATACAGCTGCCATGAGATGCTTATGTGCACCACTGTTAGCACTGCACTAAAAAAAACATTTAAAACGATGTAGCACCACTACCAGAAATTAGCATTAGCAGCATTAAGCAAATGAAGAACAGTGCTTATAAAGTGATATAATTGCATCAAACATTGAGTGCTTTTACATGCAGTCCGATTATCATCTGTTTTTGGCAGTTATCTGATTATTCAAGTGATCATGTAAACAGCATACTCCGATATCTTAGACCAGATCAAGGCCTAGAAATCCAATGCAGAGAGCTGGGTTTTAGCTTTTTCAGTGCATGTATACCATTACTCTGATTTCTTTCCTTTTTCTCATTCTGTGCATGTGTGAAAACAGAGCGCTGTCCAATATAGCAAGCAGGGTTTAGCAGAGCACCTGCAAGAGGGCAACAAAACACTTTTGGAGCGAAGCTGAAACCAACTACATGCTTGATGAAATGAAGAATTTGAATATTCATCTTCTAGATGATGCATATTTTAAGTTTTACATTACATTTATGTCACGTCTTCTTCTGTGAGTTTATCGGCCAGTTGCAAAGCAGTAATCTGATTATCTTCCGACTCATGCAGACGCGGCGTTTCAACATTATCTGATTACCCAAGTGCATGTAAATGTGTTGAATAAATTACTGACAAAATCTGATTTTCTGCAGTTATCAGATTATTTCGTGCACGTTTTATTGTTATAATGAAATCTGCAAGTGGCACATGGCTGTATTTGCATCTCAGCATAGACAAAATGAAAAAGCTAATGAAATGAATCTACATCTGGAATCTACTCATGTAATCAGATTCATTTCCAAGTAATTTGGTCCATTCAGTACGAAGCGTTCACATGTAAAGGGCAGCTGGTGTTTTCAAATAGTTTAAATAATCTGAAAGTTACAATGACAGTGACTATATACTTTGTTGCATGGCTATATAAATGAACAACTATTGACATTTACATGCTCTTTTTTGCATATCTACAGACATGCCATTGGTTTTCCAAGCACAGCCGGGCTCAAGCTCCCTAGGGTCTTCATGGCAGCTGGTGGTCCCAATGCAAGCCAAGTAGGCCGAGTGGGAGGCCAGAGGAGAGCGAATTCCATTGCCATGGGCGACGGATGGTGGAGTAGAGAGAAGAGACCAGCAGCCAATGACCCTCCTATTCAACCTTTTATGGTGGAAACCTCTGATGAGGAGATACAGGTGAGAGAAGGTGGAGCAGTACTGGCTAAAATTAGACAAGGACGGTAAGTGTCCTGTCGATTCCACCTCAGACTACTGAAGAAGCCAGAAACTCTTTCAACAGGCTTTAGCTTTTAGGCTATTCCAGCTTCAAGTTGACATGAAGTTAGAGGGGGAACTACAAATCTGGAAGAACTGGACATGATAGTACAGTAGTAGTGTGTGTAGTGATGCATGTAGTAAGCCAACATTAACTATGGAGTCTATGCCTTAATCATCACTACAGCTAAGTAAAGAAAAACAGCATATTTAGATCTTTTCTGAAGATACTTTAGATTTATTTTTTTTTTTACTAAAATCTAGAATCTAATCTTGGGACAGATTGTCAAAAAGTGTTGTAGCTTGTAATGTCTCTTATGGTTCCGATGATCTTAATGCTCTCCTGTCCCATCAGGACCTCCACGCGAGGCTGGACAAGGCCCGACTCTCTCCTCCTCTGGAGGACTCCCGCTTCCACTATGGCTTCAATCCCTTGTACCTCAGGAAAGTGATCTCCTACTGGAGGCACCAGTTTGACTGGGAGAAGCAAGTTAACGTCCTGAACCGCTACCCACACTTCAAAACGAAAATCGAAGGTCAGCCTGAGCTTATGCACAAAATATACACCGATCCGGAATAACATTATGACCACCTCCTTGTTTCCATTTTATCAGCTCCACTTACTATATAGGTGCACTTTGTAGTTCTACAGTTACAGACTGTAGTCCATCTGTTTCTCTGCATACTTTGTTACCCCCCTTTACCCTGTTCTTCAGTGGTCAGGACCCCCATGGACCCTCACAGAGCAGGTACTATTTGGGTGGTGGATCATTCTCAGCACTGCAGTAACACTGACGTGGTGGTGGTGTGTTAGTGTGTGTTGCGCTGGTCTGAGCAGATCAGTGTCACCTCAGTGTCACTGCTGGACTGAGAATAGTCCACCAACCAAAAATATCCAGCCAACAGTGTCCTGTGGGCAGCGTCCTGTGACCACTGATGAAGGACTAGAGGATGACCAACACAAACTATGCTGACACACATGACCTGCTGTCTCTGACTTTACATCTACAAGGTGGACCAACAAGTTAGGCATGTCTAATAGAGTGGACAGTGAGTGGACACAGTGTTTAAAAACTCCAGGAGCACTGCTGTGTCTGATCCACTCATACCAGCACAACACACACTAACACACCACCACCACGTCAGTGTTACTGCAGTGCTGAGAATGATCCACCACCCAAATAGTGCCTGCTCTGTGAGGGTCCATGGGGGTCCTGACCACTGAAAAACAGGGTAAAAGGGGGCTAACAAAGTATGCAGAGAAACAGATGGACTACAGTCTGTAACTGTAGAACTACAAAGTGCACCTATACAGTAAGTGGAGCTGATAAAATGGACAATGAGCATAGAAACAAGGAGGTGTTCTTAATGTTATGCCTGAACATATTCATATGCAGTCGCATGCATGTTTTATTGATTTGCTAAGTGAAAATAAGATTTTTTTGGCAAATTTCTGTGCACAGTTGAGTTTATCATGTGCTGTAACTTTTGCACAGGAAACATTTTTTGTCAAATTTTCCCCCCAATTAATTAAATTCAGCAAACAAACAGTAATGCAGTGGTGAACTGTAGATGATGTGTTAAATTATTTTCACTTAGAAAATCAACAAAATGTCATTTGACTGGGGTGCACAAACATTTGCATATGACTGTGAATTGACTGAGGATGGAGAATTTGTCGGGAACTGCAGAAACTACATATATTGCAATGTAATTTTAGGCACAAAACTGTTCCAGGCAAAGAATATGCACTATATGGCCAAGAGTCTGGGGATGCTTGACCATTACACCTGTATGAGCTTGTTAGACATCCCATTCCAAACCCATGGGACATTAATAAGGAGTTGGCCTTGTGCAGCTATAACAGCCTCCACTCTTCTGAGAAGCTTTCTACAAGATTATGGAAAGTGTCTGTGGGAATTTGTACCCATGTCTTCAGTGAGCTTGCTTTGTGCACAGGGTCACAGTCATGCTGGAACAGGAAAGGGTCTTCACCAAACTGTTGCCACAAAGTTGGAAAGATATCATGGCGTGTCTTTGTGTGCTGTAGCATTAACATCACCCTTCACTGGAACTAAGGGGCCCAAACCATGAAAAACAGCCCCAGCTCATTATCCCTCCTCCACCAAACTTTACCGTTGGCACTAAGCATTCTGGTAGGTAGCGTTATCCTGGAATCTGCCAAACCCAGAGTCGTCCGTCAGTCTGCCAGATAGTGAAGCATGATTCATCGCTCCAGAGAATACGGTCCACTCCTCCACAGTCCAGTGGTGGTGTGCTTTACACCATTCCAGCCAACGCTTGGCATTGCGCATAGTGTTCTTAGGCTTGTGTGCAACTACTCCTCCATGGAAACCCATTTCCTGAAGCTCCTGACACACAGTTCTTGTGCTGTTGTTGCCTCCAGAGGCAGTTTGACAGCACTCTGTAGTGAGTGATGCAACAGAGGATAGGCTATTTTTATGCACTACGCACTTCAGCCCTTGGTCAGCCCTGCTCTGTGAATTAAGGTGGCCTACATTTTCATGTCTAGACATTGGACAATAGCACTTACAAGATCCAGCAAGACTGAAATTCATGAAAAGGCAAAAATGACATCCTATGACACATTTAAAGTCACTGAGCTCTTCAGTACGACACATTCTACTTTCCAGTGTTTGTCTATGGAGATCGCAAGGCTACGTGCTTGATTTTATACATCTGTAAGCAATGAGTGTGGCTGAAACACCTGAACTAAGTAAATAGGAGGTGTCCACATACTTCTGGCCATATAATGTATGTGTGCATGCATATGTACATGTTTTTTCCTTTTTGGGCCATTGCAGGCTTAAATGTACACTTTGTCCACTGTAAGCCCTTTGGTGCTGCTGCTGGCCAGCTTGGGAAACCCCTGATGCTGCTGCATGGCTGGCCTGGTTCTTTTTACGAGTTTTATTGGATGCTGCCACTCCTGCTGACCAATCAGGACGACCTGGTCTTCGAAGTCATCTGCCCCTCTATTCCTGGCTATGGCTACTCTGATGCCCCAGAGCTTGAAGGTATTGAAATATATTGTAGTAATGATTAATCTTTCAAATGTAAGCTAAATATTCAAACAGACATCACATAAGCAAGTCTATTGAAGATGACTTAACAACTCAGTGTAGTGTATGATGGTTTAGCTATGCACTTTGAAAGATGCTAACTGGGAGCTATAGGCCTTTATTACCTGTTAGCTACATCAGCCTTGTAGTCCTGCTGCAAAACTAATGAAGCAAATTCCATAGATCAGATCTATTGCCCGAACCCCGTAAAGTTCCCTCATTCTCTTAGGATTCAACACTCTGGATGCAGCTCGAGTCTTTCTGAAGCTGATGGAGCGTCTGGGCTATTCCGAGTTCTACCTGCAGGGTGGCGACTGGGGCTCCATCATCGCCACCAACATGGCTCAAATGAAACCGGAGTAAGAGCTGCTAGTTTACCTAATCGACTTCATTGTTTTTCGTTAATATATGCTCATTCTGAAATTGATGCCTGTGACACATTCCAAAAAAGTTGGGATGGGGCATTTTAAGACTTCAAAAAACATCTGAAATCATGCGTGGGATCAGGAATACTTTGACAAAACATTGTCAAGAAACATGGCTCGTCACTGGATCCACAAATGCTGTACTGTGGCTGCCCTATGCACAGTGGAAGCCATGTCCAGAAACGCCACCGACTTCTCTGGGCTCAAATTCTTCTAAAATGGGTTGATGCACAGTGGAAACGTGTATTGTGGTCTGTCTGAATGTTTATGGAAATAATGGACATTGTGTTGTCCGGGCCAAAGAATAAAAGTACTATCCAGATAGTTACCAGCAAGTTTAAAAGCCAGCATCTATCATGGAACAGCAGTAGGGTATGAGTGGGTAGCTTGCATATCTGTGAAAGCACCATTAAGTGTATGTACACATTCTGGAGCAACATATGCTGCCTTTTAGACTCTTTTTCAGAGACATCCATGCTTTTTCCAACACAACAACGCTAAGCCATATTGGGCACATGTTACAACAGCATGGCTGCATAATCAGAGAGTGTGGGTGCTAGACTGGCCTGCCCAGACCTCTAGATGAATGAAGGCCCGTCCGCTTTCAAAACTGGATCAGTTGGTGTCTTCAGTCTCCAAACATTTATTAAGTGCTGTGAAAAGGAAAGGTGATATAACACAGTGGTAAATGTGCTCCTGTCCCAGCTTTTTTGGAATGTGTAGCAGGCATCAAATTTGGAATAAGCTTATATTAAAAAAAGAAACAAAAAACTTTCTGCTGTCCCAGCGTTTTGGAATAAGCTTTGTAATTGTTCCCTCTCAATTGCGTTCTACTGCTATTGCACTGAACCCCACAGCTGTGTGAAGGGCCTCCATCTCAACATGTTTCCCGTTACCAATGGAAACCTGGTCGTGCTGCTGTCTCTGCTATTGGGCTCCCACTTCCCCTCTCTGGTGGGCTTCAGCCAGGAGGATGTCAACCGCCTCTACCCCTACATACAGAAGAATGTCTTCTCCATGCTGAGGGAGACCGGCTACCTGCACATCCAGGCCACAAAACCAGACACAGCGGGTGAGCTGCCTCCACTGTATGACAAATGGTTTTAAATGGCTCATATCCTATATTTTTCTTGTATTTTCTTTTTGCCCTTGTGTTTGTGTGATTTTATGTGCCAAAAATGGTCATAATTCAGGTTCACATAACATTGTCTGACCTCCCTTTATCCCCTAGTATTAAACAGGCAGTTTTTATTACTGTTATATAGCATTCTATAAAGCAGTGCTGTATCCCTCAGCCTTATCGTTTCGACAGAATTCATAATTTTATAACATTTTCATGTTTTTATTCATCAGTGTTCTTTTTCTACAATACCCAGCATGCATTACACAAATACATCATACAACCATTGGGAATCCCTGTGGTGTCAACTAATCCTGAGCTACAGGGTAATAAATACAAAGCTAGCATAACTCTTACCTCAGTCGTTGAACAAATTCCTGTAGAAAACAGCGATTCTGTCATTATTCAGTACAAAATGGACACCAGAGACAAGTTTTTAGCCTTTTAGCCAAAAGTAAATGAGCCACACTGAGGTAAGATTTCTATGTAGCCAATTAGCTTCCTTGTCAACGTTTAGCTTTTAGCTTGTCTTCTTCGTTTCGAGTAATTTCTGTCAAGTTATTCATTCTCTCCACTGTAATGATGATATGAAGACACTTACTACACTAATACAGATGTTGTAAGATATTTAGCTTCCTAGCAGTAACATTAGCTGTCTAGCTTCCTTCTGCATTCGCTAGCTAACAACTAGCAAGTCCACTCCAAAGGAGCTGAGCTCTTCAAAACGTTCTCAAAATGCGTCAACAGAAGGGTGTTTTCCCTCTTTTTAACCCAGGATATCTCACTCTAGATACTACAGCACCACTGTAAGATGCAAGTAAGCATGTTCACAACAGATATAGTGATGGTAACATTTTTCATTTTGCCCAGACTCATTTAGATCAAAATGTCTTTAAGATTTTGGACTGGTTCCAGATGTCAGTTACAGAGACAGCCCTATGACAAATGCATTGGCCTCTTGGAAAACTCATGTACATGATATATTGACCCCCACTGATGAAGATTCATATGCTGATTCTAAGCGACGTATCAGTTTGGGTATGTATGCAGGAGCCTGAGCTCTTTTTATAAAGCTGTTTTCAAGATTTGCATACTGGCTCAAACCCTCTTCGTATACCTGTGTGTCAAGTTTGAAAAAGACTGGTCCAAGCACTGAGAATTTGAAGCTGGTTTTGTGACCTCACCCCACCCAGCAAAGGCCTCTGTGAATAGTAGGAGTGGTGCACTAAGTGCAATGTCACCTTCACACCTCAAGTTCACATAGAGTGACTTCAAGTGCTTTGGCGCCTCCTGCAGGCTGTGGGTTGAATGACTCTCCTGTTGGCTTGGCTGCTTACATACTGGAGAAGTTTTCCAGCTGGACTGACCCTCAGAATGTACATCATCATGATGGAGGACTTGAGAGGTGAAATCTCTATAGTAGCAGAGTATCTCATATATGTATATATAACACATACAACATTAAAACCACCACCTTGTTTCTACATGCACTGGGCATTTTATCAGCTCCACTTACTACATAGGTGCACCTTGTAGTTCTACAATTACAGACTGTAGTCCATCTGTTTCTCTGCACACTTTGTTACCCTGTTCTTCAATTGTCAGGACCCCCACAGGACCACCACAGAGCGGTGGATCATTCTCAGCACTGCAGTTACACTGATATGGTGGTGGTGTGTTAGTGTGTGTTGTGCTGGTGTGAGTGGATCAGACACAGCAGTGCTCCTGGAGTTTTTAAACACTGTGTCCACTCACTGTCCACTCTATTAGACACTCCTACCTTGTCAGTCCACCTTGTAGATGTAAGATCAGAGACAATAGCTCATCTGCTGCTGCACAGTTTGTGTTGGTCATCCTCTAGTCCTTCATCAGTGGTCACAGGACGCTGTTGGCTGGCAGCAACACGGAGGTGTTTAAAAACTCCAGCAGCACTGCTGTGTCTGATCCACTCGCACCAGCGCAACACACACTAACACACCACCACCACGTCAGCGTCAGTGCTGAGAATGATCCACCACCCAAATAATACCTGCTCTCTGAGGGTCCTATGGGGGTCCTGACCTTTGAAGAACAGGGTAACAAAGTATGCAAGACACAGATGGACTACAGTCTGTAACTGTAGAACTACAAAGAGCTCCTATATGGTCAGTGGAGCTGATAAAATGGACAGTAAGCATAGAAACAAGGAGGTGGTTTTAATGTTATGGCTGATTAGTGTATGTACACCTTTACTGCTCTGTTATCAGCATCTTGTATTTTCAGTCACTGGTCACTTTATGAGCTTGACCTACCGTATAGATCTAGGGTTAGACAGTATATTTGGTAATAAGGTATACTAAGGTGTTTCAAATATGATGTTGGTATTTTAAAATTATGCCATTACACGTGCCAAATTTCTATTCCATGTCTGTACAGCTAAATAAACTCCCATTTATATTTTAGATTTAACTTATATTAAGGGAAAGCTCATTGACAGGCAGCGCTAGTAGCAAGAGAAATCAGAGCCAGGAAAAATTTCAGAAAAATTAAGCATGATAGCAACTCAGCCACCAGAAAACATGTTCAATTTTGCCATTCACTCCTAACACCAGTCACATTGAGCTCTGAGACATCCTTTAAATAGGTGTCATTTAGCATCAGTTAGCTGGGAACCAGGCCTGCGCTGTAGGTTGTGGCACGTTTAGCCTGCTATCTAAGCTGTCATTAGCTTAGCCAACATGCTACTGTCCCAAACACCACAGAACAGGTTTGATTTCTACCACTCCAACACCAGTCACTCCACTTTTACTCTCTCAGACAGTAGTTTTTCATTGTCTAAACTTGTTTCAGTCAGAATCTGTTTGGGTCTGTAGCTGCTCGCTAAGCTAATGTTAAGTCAGCCGGTCAGGCTACAGATGAGCTAACTATGCACCAGCATAGTTAAGTGGATTCTAATGAAGTGAACAGTAAGTGTAGATCGACGTGTAATTAAATGAATGAAAGAATACTTTTTATGGCCACATGATGCTGTGAATTCTGTACCATTCCAGGAAATTCTGCCTTGATGACCTCCTCACTAATGTCATGATCTATTGGACTACGGGTTCCATAGTGTCTTCAATGCGCTTTTACAAAGAGAACTTCAAAGGAAGCCTTTGGAAAAGGGAGGACGCCAGGTGAGAACTTCACACGCCTCAGTTTCAGTCCTGTGGTGTTAGGAGCCTAGCATCTGAAAGTCCTGCCGAAAATCGATTTACAAATTCAAATTTCTTACCCCATTTCTTTCCCGCTACCCCAAATGCTCAGCCAAAACATGTATGGGGCCAAAGTTTGCCTATTTCAAGTGGATTTATATCTCTGTGAAGATGCATATAAACGTAGCATAGAGACGAGGAAGAGGTTTATGGGTATATGAGGAGCCAACATGCACCCCTCCCACCACACTAGGGTTGCCACCCGTCCAGTCTTTTCCATGGCCTGTATGTGCCATCAGTCTGAACAGATGACACTCAAAAGAACACAGATAAAGCCGGCATGCTTTAGCCAACAAACACAGCTGTCTTCTATATTTCCTTAAAAGGATTAAAATTTTCTGCATGATTAAATGGTTACAATGTAAACAGAGTCACTCAGAGTGGTTTGGTGTGAAATGCTCAGTTCTAGAGAAGCTTAGAGTCAGAGTTGTTCACAGTGGTGGTGACAGGAACCAGACGTCCACCTCTAAAAGCTCCCTCACAGAAGGTTACTACACTAAGTGTTTATGGATATGCTGCCTGATGTCTGGAAACACTGTTTTAACATAGTTTTGAGAAGGTTTTGGACTAAAACATACTTTTAAATCATGTAAATTCCCTGAAGGCTGACATGCAGACTGCAGGTCACATAGCAACGCACAGTCTCGCCTGGCTAGTAGCTATCGGAAAGGCAAAGAGAGAGATTTAAGATGTCGCAAAGCTGAAGTCAGCTGTCATTACAATTGTCCCGTTCCACCTTAAATGGTGCCGCATTTACGTTTTGGTGCCTCAGGCAGAATTTAAGGTGGAACGGGAAAAATTCTAACAAGAAGCTGGAGAATAAGAAGCGACTTCAGCCTCGTAAAACAGTCGAACGTTGAGAGACATTTTACAAGAAACTGATCTACTTTTGAGAAAATGTTTTCTGGCGGAGATAGGAGGAAAGCAGCTATAGGTAAAGCTTAAAGCAGAGCGAAGTAAGTGTGTTTTCGTTTATATTTTTAGCCTATACTAGAACATTACTGAGACATATTGGACATTAAATGTTGTGGCTCCCAAGGTGGTTTGATTTTTGTTGAAAGGACAAAATGTCTTTTCTTAACGTTTAGGTTGTCGACTTCTGACCTTACCTAGCTTTTAATGCAGAGGGAGCCGGTCGGATTTCTCGCTCATCCAGTTGTGTTTTTGTTATGTGCCGCCACAGACTGTCAGGGCGCTGCACTTCCGCACTTCCAAGTTCCGCCTTTTGCGTTCCGTCAACATTACGTTATAAATGTAATATCTAGAAAATCGATTTTTGACATTTGTGAATCGATTCAGAATCATCCACGTCCGCATCACGATGCATCTAAGAATCGATTTTTTCCCCCACCCCTAATAGTTATCCTTTGAACCTAGACATGTGTGAACTCATAACTGCATAACTGATACTTGCAGGACAAACAGCAGATACCAAAAACCACCACAGTGGACAAAGTTTACAGAACAATTATACATTATTTATACATTAATTATACAAAAAATTTTCCTCGGCTATTTTTGAATTAAAAAAACATGGTTTGAAATGTTTTCCTCTGCGTGCCGTAGAGATGCATTGAAACCAATACTGGTATCTAGTATCTCTCCAATACCATGCTGATTCACTCATACTCATATTTAATGCACTGATGCCAACATTTAATATCAGCTAACAAGTAAGCCTAGTGAACGCTGCCGTGCTAATGAACAAGCGGCTCAAGCTGGCAGTGGATGAGGGTCTCCTCACACAGAGAAGTGTTATTGACTCTACGGCAGTTGAACGCAAAGGTATTGGCTACTTTAAACATTCCACCTTGCCATTTTCCCACCAGACATATACTATGTAATTTTAGCTTGTTTTTAAGCACACAGTTACACCATGAAAACCAAAGGTGAACAAACACAGGCCGTCAAAACGGAGGCAAAAAAGTCAACATTTGCTACCAAAGTCCATATTTGTTGACTTTGACTGAATAGAACTGCAAGATATAAATGTTAATATGTTGATTTCTTATGTTGTCTTTGTAAAATAGGCTGTAGAGAGAGTGAACTGTCCTACCATGTACCTCACCGCCTGCTTTAGCTTCAGTGCACAGCGTGGCACAAGTTAGCAAAGCTACAGTAGCTCAGTTTCTCAGCATGTTCATTCAGTACTTTGTGTACAGCAAGTTGTTTTGAATGAAACAGCTTTATTTTAAATTGTTCATGGACAGAGCTTTCTGTAGCAGCTGTACTGTTGAGACAGATAAGGATCAAAACTATGAAATGTACTTTAGTTACAGCTGTAATGAAGTGCTTATCTGACGTGGAACAAAACTCACTCTTCTCCGCTGCAATGTTACTTGAAGAAAAGTAACTAATGTAGCATATCTAGCTTATGCACATCATTTAACTGTTAAGATACATTGCACTCATTTATGCTAATAACTACTTAATTCCAAGTAGGTTATCCAATTTTATCGGTACAGGCAAGTAACGTACTCATACTCAGTCCCTAGCGTGCAGCTAATTTTTGGTGCAACACCAGTGCTGCTTCCTAAAAAGAGAGCCTACAGCCATACATTCATTTTGTCTGAAGTGAAAATTAGTTGTCCAAATATTCGTTTATTTAGTTAATATGTCAATATTAGTCAGAATGCAGATCCCTAGCACACACTAATGACACACATAGGCCACTTACAAACAGTTATAGCATAAAAAAAACTGAGCAATGTTGAGCCTTTGTCTGTGTGCCCTCAGGACAGGTGTATACGTGCCCACTGGGCTGGCCGCCTTCCCAGAGGACCTGCTCCATTGCCCACCCCTGTGGGCTCGGCAGAAATACAAGAACATTGTGTCCTACTCATACATGCCCCGTGGAGGACACTTCGCTGCCATGGAGGAGCCGCAGCTCCTGGCTGATGATATCCGGCAGTTTGTGGCTAAAGTGGAGGCTCTGAAGAAATAGACTTTGAACACCTTAAAATGTGTGAGAGAAACGATTACATTTATTAGGGGTGAACAACCATCATAGCTCAGCTAGCACCGTTTTCTTCTATTTTCAATTATTTTGTTTTGTTTTTATTTGATTTGCTGTTGTATTATCAGTACTTCATCCTTACTTCATTCCAACTCTGACAGTAGAATCCTTGCAGTATGTGGCCATTTGAGCAATTTCAGAATAAAATTATAATACAAACTGTCTGGAGTGTTCAAAGAGTTTTTCTTCTGGACATGTCATCTGTGGAAGACACAAGAACATTAAGAATATAACTTAATATTTGTGATGTTTTTAATGAATGCTTTGTTCTTTGGTGGCTCAAAGTTGTGTACCATCTTCATAAAGTCTTTATGGGAAGATGAGATTTAAAATGACTTTCATTTTAAATGGCTGGTGATGAGCTGCGTACCTCAGTTCCTGCCTGTGGTCCAGGGTCACTTCACTAATGGTGGTCAGGAAGCTCTGAGTGAAGCTGGTAGGAAGCTCGCCATTCAGCAAGTAGGAAGAACCAAGAAAGTGAGTGAGTTTCTTCAGAAGCAGTGAAGTGCACCGTCTATGAGCAGCGTCTGGGTGTCTGGGAAGCGGTGAGTGAACACATAGTGGGAGCTACAGCTGGGGTTTACAAACAAGTGAACTCTATAATGATATTTGAAGTCTAAGTTGGCTGTACTTCATTCTACTATATTGCACTTTTTTGTACCGGTTTCACAATCTAGAACCACTAAACTTTGGATTGTGAAGGCTATAGTGGCATAGTGTGCTTGTGCTTTTGGGGCTGATCACATGGATTGTTTTCTTACAGTGTTTGTTCAACTACAATATACATTTGATAGCAACCACCTGGGATACTATAGTAATGGCCTAGCAACACTTAACAATCCCCTGGATACCATAGCAATGGCCTAGCAACACTTAAACAATGCCCTGGATACCATAGCAATGGCCTAATAACACCTTAGCAACCCCCTGGATACCATAGCAATGGCCTAGCAACACCTTAACAACCCCCTGGATACCATAGTAATGGCCTTGCAACACTTAAACAACCCCCTGGATACCATAGCAATGGCCTAGCAACACTTTAACAATGCTCTGGATACCATAGCAATGGCCTAATAACACCTTAGCAACTCCCTGGAAACCATAGCAACCGCTGAGCATTTTTTTTTTATTTAAATCTATTTTTAAATGTGTAAGTATAAATCAATGTTCATCACTTATTAATAAGAAAATGAACCACCTATAAATGAGGATGTTGGCGAAGTTTATTTGGGTTTTCAGTATTTTGTTTGTAAACGTTTAGCTGTGAGTGAAGAAAGCGGTGCATAAAATTTCGATTACAAAAATCATGGAGTCGACTCCGATTCTGATTCCAAGTGACGGGAATCGATTGAGTCGATTTCAAGAGTCGATCATCTCGATTCCCCAAAACAACCATAGACGAGAAAATGCAATAAAGTGCAATATTAATTATCTTTTATCTTAGCAAGAGAATTAGGAGAGCTAACGCGAGCTAAACCTAACAGCCACTGGCAGAACAGTACCTGATTCTCTTGTTTCATAGCATTTCGTTACAAATATTCTATTTTACTTTGTTTTCCACTTTTGTCTGAGGTAAAATACAGCTGGACTATCTATGTGTGAGCTGGGGAAGGATGTGTCTTTCAGACAATGACAGAATATCGTCCTCTCTGTGTAAGGAAAACATGAAAGCTTTGGAGTCGACTCTCTATTCCCGAACGCTTGGAATAGAGGAATCGATTCTTTTTGGGATCGACTCCCACGACCAGTTCTGCATGTCGTCATGGATCTCCGCCGCTGAGGGAGGCGGGCTGAGTCGGGCTGAGGAGCCGCAGCCAGAGCGGCTGTGATGCCCGCTTCGTGCTGCGCCAACGTCGCTCTCTCCTCGGAACAGGCTCGCCACATAAAGGCCGCACTCACAGCTTTTACTCGGGGTTTTATTCCGCGTTCACCGGGGAGCGATAGGACAGCTCTTTGCCTGGTTAGCTAAGCCAGCGGCGGCCGTTATGCAGGTGGCCGAGCGCCGAGGCGTCGAGCCCGGACACAAACCCTCCCCCCGCCCGGGGCCTGGCTCCGGCTCTGGCTCTGGGTCTGGTTCTGGTTCTGGCTCCGGCTCGGATAATGGAGAGAAGCGAAAGCACAGAAGAAGAGGGAGGAGGGGGAGAAGACGACGGGGCAAAAAAGCAAACGAGCCGCCGCCGTTTTTACCGCCGGAGGTACCGTTACCGTTAGAGGATGACGTCACCGTGTGCGGTTAACGAGAAGCGGATAGCGTAGCTAGCTTAGCATAGCTGCTAGCGTAACGGCTCCAGGCAGCCTGACTGACCAAACTTTACCCAGGTTTGGTCACTTTAGTATGAAAGCCCGTTTTCACCACTGGAAAAAGTATACAGACATTTAGAAAATCATAACAATGAGAAGGTTTTTCATCATTATGACTTAATATCTCATAATTATGACTTGCTATCTCATGATAATGATATTTTATCTCATATTTATGACGCAATAGCTCATAATCATTGGATTCAGTTTCATAATTATGACTTAATATCTCATAATTATGACTTAATATCTCATAATTATGACTTGCTATCTTATGATAATGATATATTATCTCATAATTATGACGCAGTATCTCATAATTATTGGATTCAGATTCATAATTATGACTTCATGTCTCATAATTATGACTTGCTATCTTATGATTATATATAATCTCATAATTATGACGCAGTATCTCATAATTATTGGATTCAGTTTCATAATTATGACTTCATATCTCATAATTATGATTTGCTATCTTATGATAATGATATATTATCTCATAATTATGACGCAGTATCTCAATCATTGGATTCAGTTTCATAATTATGACTTCATATCTCATAATTATGACTTAGTATCTCATCATTATGACTTAATATCTCATAATTATGACTCACTATCTCATGATAATGATATTTTATTTCATAATTATGACGCAGTATCTCATAATCTTTGGATTCAGTTTCATAATTATGACTTCATATCTCATAATTATGACTTGCTATCTCATGATTGATATTTTGTTTCATAATTATGACGCAGTATCTCATAATCATTGGATTTAGTTTCATAATTATGACTTCATGTCTCATAATTATGACTTAGTATCTCATAATGATGAGATTCATATATCGTATGTTTTAGCATCTCATAAGTATAACTTATAAGTGTCTCATAATAATGAGGTTCAATCTCATAATTATGACTTAAATGTCTAATAATTATGACTTAGTATGTCATGATAATGACTTACTATGTCAAAATTACAACTTACAGTCTCATTGCTACGATTTACTATCTCATAATCTTGACTTAGCATCCCACAATTCTGACTTAGTATTTCATAATAATGAGATTCAGTCTCATAATTATGCCTTAATAACTCATAATTATGACTTAGCATCTCAGAAATTTGATTTAGTACTATGAAAATGTCTCATTATTAAAAGATAGTAAATAGATATGATATTAAGTAATAATTATGAGAAACTTTCATTACTGTGAAACATTAAGTCATTATTATGAGATAGCAAGTCATAGTAATGAGATGCTCTGTCTTAATTGTCAGATACTAAGTCATAATAATGGAAAACTTATTATAATAATTTACTGAATGCTATATATTTTTCTCCAGTGCTGGAAATGGGCTTCCATATTAAAGGCTGAATTCAGGTTGCTGCTGTGTAATAAAGCCCTTAAAGGCATTAATGCATTTCCATGTGTATGTTCATGCTAATGAAATGCTAAAATATTGCTACTTTCACTACATTTTCAGAAACAGTCACTCAGGAATGAAAAGAAAAAGTGAATAAGAGAAAGATTTCCAAATTCGCATTAAGGATTGGTTCCATGTACCATCGGATATTTTTAATATTCTTGTTATTTTGGAATGTTTCATATGGGGAATGAAGTAAACAGTAGAGGTATATATAGAGGTATGTCAACCCAAACTCTCTCTGAAGGCACGGGCTCCACTATAAGGATCCTTTATAAAAAAGGTTATTTATTGCATAAAACAGTTGCGATTGTTTAAAGGGGAATTCTGTCAATTTTCAAAATTTCTGCATTATCAGGTCAATTATATATAAACAAGCTCATTCAGAGTGGTTAGATGTAAAATGCTTGATTCTAGAGAAACATATAGAATTGGCAAATTTGCGCTGCACGTGATTATAAATGACAAGAAACTACAATTTTTAAAAGTCTAGAAAAACGGTGAACTTGTCCTTTGATAAAATGGTCATTCATATGAAGCTGTTCCTTGTCTTGGAAACAAAGCTTCACACATCTTTCAAGTTTTAGTCATAGCAACCAATGAGATGCACACAGTGTTTCATTGATCACTTAAAGGGCAGTTCCACCAATATTTTCATTTTTTTTTACTCAATTAAAGGGAAACTCCACCGCTTTTGCAAACTTACTTAATCATTCAACCGTTTAGATGTAAATAAAATCATTCAGAGTGGTTTGGTGTGAAGTGCGCCTTTCTAGAGAAATTTACAGAGTCAGAATTGTTCACCATTGTAGTTCTAGGAACCAGACGTCTGTATATATACACTACAGATATCACCATTTTATCTACTATTAAAAATGACCAGTGAACTGTGTGTCTTATAAGGTTTTATATGCCACACTGTTGGTGGTAAAATAGTGCTAAATTCGAAAAAATATGTTTTTTGAGCACTATAGTTTCCTTAGAACGCTCTGCATGTACCTCTCCGCCCTGCACGTTTGTGCTGTTTGGGTTGGCGGTGTTGCATCACATAGTCACCAAAACTCGGAGCTTATGTGAGTAACATTCTTCATCAGAGGAGCGCTGCTCCTCACTGTCCACCCCATAAACTGGTGACCAGAGTAGCACGTAGTTTGCTGTTGACACCGTCAATTTCCATTCACTCTGG